TATCATAGCCGACCAAAGATCACCAGGCTCACGACACTACTCTTGACTGACTCTAGGCGGTTGAACACCACTCTTGATTGGGATTATGGAAAAGAGAGGGCAAGAGAAGAAAAAACCACTTTGAGGTCAACCGTGCCTGTAGCCCAATTGGTTGGCCCTCAAGTTTTAGGATTTGGATGAGGTGGAGGTCAGGGCTTCGAGCTCTGCCACCACCGTGAACTTTACCAACTTGTGACTTAATGGTCGTGCGTCTCAAATGAGGGGGTAGAACGTTCACTTTCCTGAAAAAATTCTAACTGCTAACAAACTAACTCTACTAACTTCTTAACCATCTACCTGATATCATAGCCGACCAAAGATCACCAGGCTCACGACACTACTCTTGACTGACTCTAGGCGGTTGAACACCACTCTTGATTGGGATTATGGGAAAGAGAGGGCAAGAGAAGAAAAAAACCACTTTGACAGCTGTAACAGATTGGACATGGACACGCAGATCGATGCCACTGCTCCGCCAATCTCCTTCTCCCTCTGTCTGCCACCCAATCAATGACAACATTATTTGGTATTTTATTTTTTTAGTTTTTATATTTTTTTGTTATTTTAAAAATTATAAAATATTAATTGAAATAAATATTAAATACATAAAATATATTTTATATATTTTTAAAATATTTAAAAACTAAAAAAAAGCTTATAAGTATAATTACAAATCTGCATAATTGATAATACATAAATACTAGTGAATATAACTTGCTAATAATAATAATAATAATCACTAGGGATCCAACTATGGTGTCATTGATACTTAATATACACACGCAACACATTATCTCTCACCATTTTAATACAGTTGTAGACTTATATTTTAATTCATTTACTAGTCTAAACTAAATAAACATCAAGCTCTTCAAATTTTAATGATTTATCTCTAATGTTAAGGTGAAGGATAATGATAAATGTAATGAACGTTTTAAGACTAATGATCCATAATATAAACAATGTCATTCAAAATATTAAAATATGAATTTTATATTATTTAATGATTAAGTTTTTTTTACTTCTTTAAAACTTGTGATATTATATAGTATATCAATTTATTTAATGAACTGACTTATACTATATTATTGTAACCAATTTTTCATCCTTTGGATAACCACTCTACAGTGAATTAGATAATTTAATTTCCACTGGAATAAACAAGGGCTTGAGCAAGAAATCCACAAAATATGAACAAGAGACTTAAGGCCCATATTAAGAGTCCACCGAAGATTTAAAGAGGAATGGGCTTAATCCTGTAATTTTGTTTTTTTATGGAAGCTTAATGCTGTATAAGTATTATTATGATACTGTGTTCCTCGAATTTTAAATTTTCAAATTTGATCTGATAATCCAAACCTTAAAATTTTATCAACTAAACAAAGTAGGCAAGTGTCTTATTATCTAAGATGTAGTAATTAAGAAAAGTTAATTTTCTAACAATAGTAGGTGGATATGAAAATACATTCTTAAAATTATTTTAAAAAGACTTAATTTTAAAATATGCTTAAGTTAATCTAAATACACTTTAACTCTGCTAAGAAAAAGATGGAACTAAGAAGGTAGATTTAGCTAAGTGAGTGCAAGGTTCCAAGTCATCTGCAACCATAGAGTGGAATTATTTAATTTATTGGAACAACAGCATGAGGGCACATCACTACATCAGGAGATGTGCTCAAAATGACTAACTATAGCCATTTTCAAACTTTTATTTTTAATTTTCCACACATATTGCTATTCGTACAGCCTTCTAGCTATCTGCTTTCAAGGGCAGAATATAACCTTGTAGTTAGTTCCATTCGGACAGGTGAACGTACTGGTTTGATCATCTTTAGGATAGCTGTAAACATCTGGACACCTTTCCTTAAAAAATCTAGAGTAGTTTGTAGGTCCACATTTACCGGAATTGCAACAGTATTCCTCAGTCTTGAACACTGGACATGGTCCATTGCACCCTCCTGGTACCTTTAACGGCCCCGGACACTGTCCCACAATGTCTGCAGTACACTTGATCACACGATTGCACTGGGGAGAGTCGGAGCTGAACTCCATGGGAACATTAAACCCATCGATGTTGGACATGTCAATGAAGTCCAGGTTGTTAAACTGGCCAAGGGCGTACTCAGCCAGCGTGTTGGGTGGAGATCCATAGGCTTTGCATTCTAGGAGTCCTTGGCAATCTCCTGTCTCGCATTTGCCTCTTCCAGAGCCATCAAATTGGCAATTGGTTCGAGCCCAAATACGGGCTTGTGTTGTGCCAGTGGCCACATTAATCTGCCAGGTTTCACCACGGTTGAGACGCCTGCCACCGCCAGGGACTGCGGCAGCCCA